GTTGCCAATTTTTGACGACGTTCAGTTCCGTGTTGCATCCAAGCTACTTCCAGTCCGATCTCGATTTTGGTTCCTACAACCCACGAACCCTGGTATCATGTGCTGCGTGCGCAGTGGTTGCAACGCTGTGGAAACGGTCCAGCATCTGTTTTTCGACTGTACACTTGCCCGTCAGTTGTGGTCGACGCTGCAACCTGCGTGGATGTGTTTCTTTGAGTTAGGTGCAACGTGGAACTGTATCGCCACCGCCCACTTGCCTCCTGTTCATCCGGAATGGTCAGTGCAAACGTGTGTTGTGTATGACATGTGGGGGGGTCGTGTGCGCAGTGACACTGCATTTCATTTGGTCGGATCGCAACCGATGCCACTTTGAAGGATGTCTCCCCACACCAGCTCGTTTCTGCATTCGCTGTCATTCTGACAACGTTCAGTGCGCATGTGTGCTACTGCATGCGGCGGGTGTATGTGGACAAAGAGGACACCGTCTTCCTGCAAGCCGTACTCGAACGATTGAAGTGTGCACACAACGTGAGTTCGTTTATGGATACGCACAGTGGTTTGTTTCTGATCCATAAGAAGCGTGTGGTGTGACAGTGGTGTCAGAATAATCCGAAAACAGCTGATCTGTTGGTCACTTTTCGCAATCAGCCCCTGATGTACCGATACACTTTTGAGCTACAATTGCTGATTGATGGAAGGCTTATAGTGGGAATCGAACCTACGACCACACTGTCGCCTCCTCCATAATCACTGTTTTGACCCACACAGCTTTATAGTCATTATGTGTATGTGTGGCGCGGGTTCGAGCCCCTCAGCGGACAAAATCGTAATCGTTCCAGACATGCAAGAAATGTCGATTGCATGCTAAATATTACCGACAACAGCCAATAAGGACTTCGGGATGGCGACTCGTACAAGAAAAATCAAGAATTAAGTAATCAAGAATAAAAAATACCCCAGCGGAATGAAGCAATGTAATTTCTTTGTCAGGCCGAGTAGGTATAGCCGTGTAATCAGATAATACATAGCAACTTTCAACTGAGCTACCCGCGCACTTCTCAATTCGCCGGCTACTACGCAAGTCAAATCACCAGAAGTACTTCCCAAACCCCTGCCCTCCGCTCCAGTCGTTACTCCCTTTTTCTGAAGATGAAATATCTAGCTGCTTCCGCTTCTGCCTCCCCATCCAGCCCCCTCGCGCTGTGATTGGCGTGACTCATGGGTCCGCACCCAGTATCCAGTCTGGTACCACGGTCGGCCCATCGTGCTCGGATCCCAACGCCGGCTTCGGACCTCCAACTGGCTCTTTGCCAGCCACTCATTTGACCATGCTGCCGTCCCCTCCTCTTCTCCCGTCGCCTTTTCCGTCTACGTTAGCTCTGACGGCCGTTGTGCCTGCTGATGCGGTCGACCCCGACGACGATCTAATAGGCGCGACCCCAAACGCTGCTACTGCTGCTGCATTGGACGACGAGTAAATGG